CACACACACACACACACACACACACACACACACTCACACACACTCACACTCACGGCTTTAGAACAGCATCAGGTTGACTAATTATTTAAGTTGTGAAGGGGTAAATAAACTAGTTATAAACTATGAGAGAAAGAGAAAGCAAGCAAAATAAGGGTTAGGCGTAAAAGTGCATATAGTTATTGTGTTGGGGCTCCATACCTGAAATTTGCTTAGGGCCCCCAAATCACTAAGTCCGCCCCTGGGTAAAAGTTTATACATACAACAGCCTGGAACGGTTTTATAGTCGTACCGTTTCTCACCATGCTCAAACCCGTTCGGCTCGAAGTTGGAAAAGTGCTTATTTGGAAGGAAGTTGGTTTGCTTACTAAGTAAGAAGGCCTCAACACCGAAGTCTCTATGACATTCTGGTTTAATTATAAAATATAGGCTAAGTATTTAATATAAATAAATTATAAATAAAAATAGATTAATTGACTGTTCCATTTTATATCTGATATATAATCAGATACTGTAGGCCTGTTTACTTTACATAGATATAGCTTATATGTCAGTGTACTCTGTCCCATTGTTCTGTTCACCTCAATCTGATTGTAATTCAGCATTTCGCTGTCAGTGTGCAAATAGCAACTAAACAAAACTTCATTTGGCTTTACTTCATTTGAGAGATAAACCTCATTTCTAGCGCACTCAAGAGCAGAGAAAACATTTTGGAAACACACAAGAGTATATAGAAAACAAGGACAAGCAGCTGAAAGCTGGAAGATTTCCTTTTTAAAGTATACCATGCCAGAGTGGAAATAAAGCTGGCATCAGGAAAACATAAAATGTATCAGCCCACAGAGAGAAAGAAAGGGGGTGAGGTAGAAAGAATAATAGCGAAACAAAGAGAAAGTAAGAGACATGAGCGGTGGGGGCCAGTGTAAAGATGGTGTGTGATTTTCCATTCAGGGGAGCAGAAGAATAGAAGCACTATAACGAAACACAAAGCATTTCCTATAGGAAGCATCATTACATGCACACAATCAACACAACACAATACTTGCTTCATTCATTTAATATTATACAAGAGAGAAGGACAGAAAACTTACCACAGAGATGTAAAGTCTCACTGATGGCCCTAAAATTTAGACCAGTCCAGGCCTCATCACACACACACACACACACACACACACACACACACTCACACACACTCACACACACTCACACACACTCACACTCACACACATACAACCTCAGCTGCATGACAGGGTCGGATGCTTCCACTCACAAGACTATATTAGAAATGTTTCAGATTACTCTCTTAGTCACACAAACAGGCTCTCTCTAATTAACTTGTGATGAAAGAAGTCACTTAGCGTAGGCTAGTGCTTCCCTTGGCAGCTGTTTGGACAGATCTCTTTTCTTTTCATCATACTTTGGATTTTTGTTTAGGCAGAAAGTTATTATGGAAGCAATTTGTTCATTAAAATTGTTCATTAAACACACGTTGACCAATAGTGGGGCATGTTGTCACACTATCATACATCTGCCCATTAGAAGCTTGTAAGCAATATTTAAAAACTAAAACAAGGAAACATGAAAGAATTCGTGAAACAGCAAAAGCGTAGCTAGCATACTAAATGATCTTCTTTTTTACCAAAAATATTGTAATTAATAAATTGCATACGTTTATAACATTAAAAGCGCATAACTTGACCCAACCTAATCTGCCCTTTATGAAAAAAAGGTCATTTGTCAAGTTCCCTGTGCGACAACCTGATCTCACTTATTACTGCAGACAGCTTTAGATAGTTTTCAAATTAGTATCCGTTTTAACGAATTTGTTTCTACATCTTCTGTTGTGTATGATATAAAAAAGCAAGACTCAAATGGATGCATGTTCATTGATATAAGAAAAGAGAGAATGTGTCTTCTGTTAAGCTGACATCTTTTTCCAATTTTGCTTAAAGTTCTCATTAGTGACACAGCTGTCCGTATTTAACATTGGCAATGGGAAGGGGAGGGAAATTCAGGTTGAATGTTATGGTGTTTGTGTTCTGTCCTCTGGCTATGTCAACACAGTACAATAAGTTGCTCAGTTTAACTGTGGCTAATCAGAGCCAAGATGTTTGCGCCATGCGTTTTGAGCAAAAACAAGCATATCTGCGCAAGACCAACCTCCACAACAAGTATTTCCGCAATGTCCTTTCCTCTCATGTTCTCATCCACCCACTTCACTGAGGGTCTGAAGCTGATTCTAACCCACACTCGTGGTCAAAATGGCGCCAGGGAGGTCCCACTTACACACAGATGTTTTTGGATGGTGACTCACAAGGAAATTGGCCACAGAGTCCATGAGATTTAATCATGAGGTCTTGTATGTCTTCTCACTGCTGCTGCATAAAAGTTGCTATTTTACACTCAAAATCTGACACTGCGGCAATACTCTTTCACAAAGTACACCTTTGTACCTTATTGACCCCAAAAGGGTGCATATTAGTACCTTAAAGGTACATATTAGTTTCTAACTAATATACTAATGTGCATGTGTGATAAAGTTTCTCGCTCATTTGAAGGGATAGATTAAAAAAATTAAAATTTTTCATTTACTCAAGCTCACGTCATGTATGACTTCCTTTCTTTTGCAGAAGACAAAAGATAAGATATTTTAAAGAATGTTTCAATTGTAATGAGTACATTATGACAGAATTGTCACTTTTTGGTATCCATTTAAGAGAAATAAACAGTGCACAACAAATTGTATAAAAGTTTAAAAAGTTCAACATTAACGTTCTCCGAGCAACTGTGGCAAAAAGAGAAAAAAGCAGAAATTCTACCCGAGTGAGTCACCATCACTGTATTACATAAAGACTGAGGTTAAATGAGGCCAGTCATCTCCTCTGCCCCCTTTTTTTCTTTTTCCCTCCCTGACTTCTCTCATTTCCAACTGGTCCTGAAATACTAGTACTCTTAAATGCCTTTCACAAGTTCTTTTGCTACTATTCATCTTCACTCACCATTCCTTTATCCACTATTTTCTTTATTCACTTTTTCAGCAGTGCATTGCTAATAATAAAAACTACATCTAACATACACCCAACACACATCATTTTATGCTGTGCCACTAGTGACCTGGCATTCATGTCTCTTTAGGGGTACATCATCTTGTTACTGGGACAGTACCGTCAAAGGAACACTTTTGTACCTTATTTACTCCTAAAGACTGGATATTAATACCTTAGAGGGATGGTGCACCTTTCTTGAAGATGTCTTATGTTCATACGGTGAAAATTAATGCTCTTGAAAAATGGACTGCACAAAATAAAGTGCTAAAAATGACTGATTTGTGGCATAACATGCTTCATATTAAGCATCACAATGTCAGGTATGCATTAAAGGTGCACAAACATGCAAATAGGTATTTGTTTTCCAGAACATGTAGTGCATAGATAATCAGCTTTATGTAGTTTTTCTAAAAACCATACATAACTACAATAAGCAGACGTATAGTCTCTTTATATCACTGTATGTCTTCTTTTGTGTTCTGTAGAAGAAAGAAAGTCATACAGCTTTGGAACAGCATAAGAGTTAGTAAATTTCATTTTTGGATGTACTGTCCCTTTAAGATACTAATATGCACATTTGAGAGTACTGCCCTGTGACAATCTTTTATTGCTTTTTTTTTTTTGGACTGTGAAGAAGAGTAAAATACAATATTCCACCTAAAATGATCTTGCAAAATGGACTTCACAAAAATAAAATGTTAAAAATTATAACATTTTTCTTCTCATGAAGCATTGCGATGTCAGATATGCATTAAAAACTCGCAAACATGCAAACAGGCATTTTTTTGTTGTTGTTGTTTTTATCCTTTACAAAATTTGACGTAAAAAAGCGGCTTTACTTTTTCTTTTTCTTTTTTGGAAACAAACCATGCATGACTAGAATAAGCAAAAGTATAGTCTCTATTAATGGCTTTTAGCATTGCTTAGAATACTAGTCAATTACCCTGTGCTCTAATAAGATGCAGGACTGGTTATGACTGCTGAAGTGGTTCCATTATGATTGCAACACAATGTAAGGCAGTATATTCATGGCATCTTTTTCTGATTAATGATATAAATCCAGTGTGAGTTTTCATTACCTAATAATGGTTTAAATTGTGCCCTGTAGCTACATGTCAAAAATTACACTAGGCCAGTTGCATAAGCACAGCCACAATGTTAAGACTGTGTCTGAAGAGCTAGTCTTGCCATCTAGCATTTAGCCAAGGGGCCTCAATTTTCGGATTCAAATAAAACATTTTTACGTAACTAACTTTAAAATGTTATGCAGTCTTAAGAAAAGTAAAATGAAATAACTAAGCTGTAAGACTAGTGTAAAGCAGTTTATGCAACCAGCCACAGTTGGTCAATTGGTCAGAGACATCTCATCTCTGTCTCATTTTAGTAAAAACCAGACTTACTGCCCAACTGTATTCATACCACAGAGTTTTGCAAAATACCATTTTCATTCAGCTTGAGCAATTTTGCATCCCAGCAAACATCCATAAACATGCATAAGTGATTAAGCCTTAAAATGATTGTGAGTATTTAACATAACCACTATTAGACATATTCTTTTTAGTATAGAATTATTTCAGTGGTTCCATGCAGTTTCACTAAAGTGGTTCTCAGGAACACCCAACTTGCGCTTCCAGTTCAGGGCAGGTCTTGACAGTGGATTTGCCCAAAGGCTCAAGTCTAAGGTTTTGGCTGTTTGTGTGTGGATAGAAGCTGGTTTAACCATCTGAGTTAGAGACATCCAATGACGAGAGATGCCAAGCCTACCTTTTGCAAACTCAATAATTAAGTCAACAAAGGTTTAAATGGTTTAAGGGGATGAACAATAGGAGAGAGAGAGCATAAGACAAAGAGAAGTTAATGCAGGTGCATTTGTGTGTCAAGGGTTGGGACGGTGGGAGGGGATGCATCTGGGGTGTGGAATTTGCATATAACACTCAATCTGTTCCTTTAGTTTTCATCTTTGGTTCTCAATTTTGTGCACTTCTTGCTTGCCTTGAACTCTGGAAACACCATGTCGCGTAAGAGACTTTTTAATTTATTTATTTATTACTGAAATGTTTTACTGTTTAAAATGAACTAATGCATCTCACTGCTGCACTACTGCTGTACTTTATGATTAAAATGTGTGTTCAAATTAAAACATTTTCTGTTTTTTTGAAGCTGAGTTTAGGGTGTATATATGTTAAATGTTTCTCAGCTGTTAATTGACTGGTCGATATGTCTTTTATTCATTTTAAGGCAATAGTTTAAGAGTTTCTGTGTTGGAAAGACAGCAAGAAGAGGCCGTTGGTGGTGGATGAAATGAACAATGACAAAAATCTCTTTCTCTCTCTCTCTCTTCTGTCTTGAGGGTATGCTCAGGGTGTTGGCCATAATCATCTTTCTCTTAAAACTGTCATTTTTCTTTCCCTCCATTTCTGAAAACTCCCACTCTTCAGACAGTTAAGGCCCACCCCTTCACTCCCATCTGCTTGCCTCCAGAGGGCTATAAACCAGTTCTGTGTGTTATATTGTTTATACTTTTGCCTGCATCACTATGCTTTGCAATGAATTTTTCACAAAAAAATTAATTCATGATTGTGTCCTTACAAAAAGGGTTTATCTGTAAAGCTATAGTATATCTGAAACGGAGAATAAAGATTTTTAATGTTTTGAATTAAATCTGTATTCTGACTATATTTGGGTGTGAGTGTTCTTATTCCTATAGATATATTATAACTATATGCTTCATTTTCATATGGAAACATTCGCCAACCCCCGACACTCCTATCATAATACTGACATACAATGAATTGTCAAATTACACAGATTACAGTAACTCATACTATACACAGTGCATATATGGCCTGCAGGAAACTTGAAAACAATACCACACCACACCTAAAGTGGCCTCACATGCATTAGTGAGAGAGATATGTATATTTTTGTAGTAAATGTCATGATTTTGACATGTTAGTTGCTTTACACTCTCAGAAAAGATGTACAAAAGCTGTCATTGTGTTGTTACCCTTTTTGAAAAGTATTAGTAATATGTACACTTTAGATACTAATATAGCCTATACCTTTAAGGTACCAGTATGCACCCTTTAGGGGGAAAATAAGGTACCTTTAGAAAATGCACCACTTCAGTGACAGCTTTTGTACTTTATTTGTATAAAACTGCAGAAATATTAGAGAGGTGCCTCAATGACTCATGTTCTATTCAAATTACAGTATATATTAGAGTGTTTAAATTATTTGAAATGTGTTTGAAATTATTAATGAATAATCTGTGATAAGAAGCCACATGGTGCAAGATCAAAATTACATTGTTAGGAAGATTTGATGATGACGTCGTATCATTTTGATACGTCAATGAACAGCATCCAGCTCTCAACTCTTCATTTGGTGACTATTAAAGCAGTAGAGCCCCAAGCTGTGGTTTATAGTGATTTTAGAACAGTTAAGGGGCATTGTTAAGCACGATGAAGAGCACAGTAAATAATCAGTAATACTCTTTTTAGCTGTTTGTGTGCAGTTAGAAGCTGGTTTAGCCAGCTGAGTTAAGGACTGAACAAGGACAAGAGATGCCTATTTCACCTGCCCCTTTTTGTGGTTTAAGGGAGTGAACAATAAGAGAGAGAGAGCATAGTAAGAGTAAGAGAGAGGGGCATAAATGTAGGTGCGTTTGTGTGGTAAGGGTTGGGACGGTGGGAGGGCATGAATTTGGGGGGTGTGGCATTTCTCTGCATAAAACACCGTCTGTTCCTTCACTTCTCACTCGCTCGATCCTATCTTTCACTTCTTGCTCGCCGTGAACTCCAGAAACACCATGTCACGTAAGAGACTTTTTATTTTTGTACTGAATTGTTTTACTGCTTAAAATGAACTAATGCATCTCACTGCTGCACTATAAAAGTTTGATGGCTTCAAAATTTGTAGATTGATGGCATTCTTTGAAGGGTAGTTTGGTTTATATATATATGTTATATGCTTTTTGGCCATTAATTGATTAGTAGAAAAGTTTAAGAGTTTGTGTGTTGAGAAGAAGGCAGAGGCAGGAAAAGGAGGCAGTTGATGGTGGATTAAATGACCAATGACAAAATCGAGTAGATCTCTTTCTTTCTGTTGCTTTATTCTGTTTTAATTAAAGGGTATGTTCAGGGTGTTGGCCATAATCCGACTGTGCTTAAATCTGACGGGGGTTTTTTTTTTATCCCTCCATTTCTGAAAACTCCCACTCTTCAAACAGTTAAGGTCCACCCCTTCTCTCCCATCTGCTTGCCTCCAGTGGGCTGTAACCAGTTCTGTGTGTTATATTGTTGCTGGCCATGACATTTCATATATTGTACTTTTGACATCTACACTACTAATCATTTTGGATGTTGTAAACAATACGTTTTGTTTGATTATTATTAATATTTTTTATTAATGATACACCTGCTTTGTATCACACTAATTTTACAGAAATCCAGCAAGGAATGGCTTTGCTGATTGCAGCCTTTCACAAATACTCAGGAAAGGAGGGAGACAAACATACCCTGACCAAAGGCGAGCTCAAGGATCTGCTCAATACAGAGCTGAGCGACATCCTCGGGGTGAGAGGCACTGCAAAACTGACCAGTTGAAATATAATTTCTCTTTTCATTATGACATTAAAATGCTTAATTTTAAAATTAGGTATTACAACTGCTCTTTTATATATAATAACAATTTAAAAAGTTGAATTATTTTGTATTAATCATCATAATAGAAATATTGTGAGATAATACTGATGTAAATATGAGCTGTTTAATTGGCATCATTGTACAGACAGTATCTCTGATCAGACTTTTGTGTTTGTTAAAGAAATCCGCTGACCAAAAAGCTCTGGACAAGATATTTAAGGATCTGGATGCAAATGCAGATGGCACTGTGGACTTTCAGGAGTACATCACCTTGGTCGCCTGCATCACTATGCTTTGCAATGAATTTTTCCAAAAAAAATGATCTTGTCCTTGTCCTTACAGAAAGTGTTTATCTGTAAAGCTATGGTATATCTGAAACCAAGAATAAAGATTTTTTATGTTTTGAATTAAATCTGTATTCTTACAATATGTGGGAGTGAGTGTTCTTATCTGTAAATGTGTTTATGGTGTTGGTGGCTGCAGCTTACATACACATGAAGGTTATTCCTATAAATATATTAGAAATATGCTTAATTTTCATATGGAAACGTTCATCTAACATTGACACTCCTAACATAATACTGACATACATTGAATTGTCAAATTACACAGATTACAGTAACTCATACTATACACAGTGCATATATGGCCTGCAGGAAACTTGAAAACAATACCACACCATTACCATATATATACCATACAATACTTACCGTATATATACATGTCCTCATAAACACACGTTTGCTGACAATTTATCTGTTATAAGTTTTTCTGCTTATGCAATCTCAGGTATTTTCATAAGTATAAAGTAGGCTATATTTATAATACAATGTTAAATGAAACCTTTATAAGGGTATAGAATACTATAAAAACACATCTTCTGCCTCAGAATATGATAAGAAGCCACATCAGATCACAAAAACTGTTATTGTCCCTCCATTCTAATATTAAGCTAACACCAAAGTGTATTAGTTTTAACAACTCATTTCTCTATTTGGTCAGTGTCTTTAAAGCAGCACTATGTAACTTTTGGCGCTCTAGCGGTTAATAAACAGAACTGCACACATCCCGCGGAAGAACATTCCAACCGGAGCTACTACTTTAAGTTTATGTCTATGGCGATTCACGCAGGTATGTATTACTCCGCAGCGGTGACGACCCGACCAGGCTACAATAGTCCAAATATAAGTACTTATTATAAGTGTACCGTAGGGATTCGGAATAAGACAAAAACGCGGTTTGGAAGATGAATTCATGATGTACTCGCTCATTATATACATTTTGCAAATTTTGATCACAGAAAAAGTTACATAGTGCTGCTTTAACATTTTTTTTTTTTTGGGGGGGAGGGGGAGTATTTCATAGATTTCCTTTGCTGTAAAAAGCATAAGGTTCACATATTAGTGATCAGACAAGTTGCAAATGCCTATGACTACATTAATCTTTTGGAGCGCATAAAATATAACATTTTCCAGTAAATGTCTCCATCTTGTGGTGGCCCTCATAAGGGATCTTAGAACTGATACTTGGGCACTCAGAGCCAAAAAGAATTAACTGTTATCTCAGGATCATAGAATGTATAATTTCAAACTTAATCTCACAGAATTTGTTTTTATAACATTCATAAGTTTTGTTAATTTCAATTTCAGGTCACTCAATTTATTTGTGCACTTTTAACCAAATAAAAACTCTAACATTATGCTGGCACCAAGATAGATGGAATATGAATGCTTACTTTTTACTTTTACAGAACTGTGTACAAATCTTAGGCATGCTAGATTTGTATTTAGTTATTCATATCTTTAGTATTATTGTGCCAATCGGAAATATTAGTTTACATTTCCAAATTTTTATTTTGCCATTAATTGTATTATTATTATTATTATTATTATTATTCCTTTATTTAACCAGAAAAACATCCCATTACAACATCTCTTCTTCCAGGGAGTCCTGACTAAAAATGGCAGCAACAACAAATAAGCCAATGAGGTTTTTGTACACACAAGAAGTCCAACAACAAACAGGATGGCCCACACACAGATCTGATCTCACCATCATCGAGTCCATATGGGGACTACATGAAGAGACAAAAAACTGAGACAGACTTGCTGTGGTAGCTCCTCCAAGACACTTGAAAAAATCTCAGTATGTTCTCTAAATGTACATTTATAAGGAGCACACAATTAGTTGTATTAGAACCACTTCAAGATTTGAAAATACAATTTTGTGTGTGAGTAACGACTAATGGAATATAATATTTTCAAGTAAATATCTCCATCCTGTGGGTGCCCTCATAATGGATTTTTGGACAGATAGACTTGAGTAAGTTAAAGGTGCTCTATGTAGGATTGACCTAGTGGTTGAACTAGGTATTGCAGCCCAAATTCAAAATATTGGAGAGGGTTTTTTTCACCCGGACCCTTCTCCTCAGACTTGACGCACATGCAGGTTGCCAGATTGAAGACACCAACAGGAACTGACCCCTCTCGTTTGGCAGCTTCCATGACTGAAAAGAAATACGCTGTGTTTCCCGCCAACTGGCAACCCGGGGTGCCGAAATAAAATTGGGTAAACTGGCAGTGGGCGGGTTACACAGACCAAAACAGAGACAGACATTCAGACACAGAATGCACATTTTTAAAGAAGAATAACTGACTGTAGCATTGTTTTTCAGATAAACAAGTATACATATTATGGTATTTTTATGCTTTAGTAGAGTCAAAAACTTACATACAGCACCTTTAAGTGAAAGTGACGTGACATGTGGCCAAGTATGTGGTGACCCATACTTGGAATTAGTGCTCTGCATTTATCCCATCCGAAGTGCACACACACAGCAGTGCACACACACAGCAGTGAACACACACACACACACACACACCGTGAACACACACCCGGAGCAGTGGGCAGCCATTTATGCTGCAGCGCCCGGGGAGCAGTTGGGGGTTTGGTGCCTTGCTCAAGGGTACCTCAGTCGTGGTATTGAAGGTGGGAGAGAGCGCTGTACATTCACTCCCCCCACCCTGCCGGTACGAGACTCGAACCCACAACCTTTAGGTTACGAGTCCGACTCTCTAACCATTAGGCCACGAAAAGTGCCTTGAAAGTTACTTCTGTCACGTAACAACAAAGCAGTGCACCATGGGAAATGTAGTGCGGAACACTGACGGAACTAACAACCTGTCTATTTGCATGGTAGCTCGTTTTGTAAAATGGAAGAAGAATCAGTTATCATTGGACATAACATAAATAATTAACTATATCTCATGTATTGTTTTATAGCATACACGTTGTTTCAAAACATAATATAATCTAAAATTAGGTTAAGAGTGTATTGCTCTAGCTTTGTGTAGATATTACATTTAATCAGAAGACAAAGTAAAAATAAACAGAAGGAACATCATTTGAATTAATATTTGAAACATCTTTCTGCAATCTGCACCAGTTTCTTAAACATAAAAAAAAAATATCCCGGTCCTTTCTGTCCAATGATAACTGATTCTTCTTCCATTTTACAAAACGAGCTACACCCCTTTAAGAAGAAGAAGAAGAAGAAGAGCTACCATGCAAATAGACAGGCTGTTAGTTCCGTCAGTGTTCCGCACTACATTTCCCATGGTGCACTGCTTTGTTGTTACGTGACAGAAGTAACTTTCAAGGCACGCAAACGCAGCAGTGTCTCGTGATGGGGGCGGTTTGGCGTCAGTCTTTCCCGTCTGGAGTCTGACGCACTCCGACAGCCAATAAGCTCATGTAGCACTTCGGCGCCCGAGCCCGCTGTGGAGGCAGGATTTCTTCAAATAAAGATGGCAGATGTTGTCGAAGGAGACGGTAGTCGCTCCGCTGGCCCTTCCACGCTTCACTCGGCGGCTCGCAACGGCTCCGGCACGAGCTCAGGAACGTGCGCCGGCGGCCTCGTCGCGACCACGGTCACCTCCGGGCCTCGGTTGGTCCGCATCGTCAAGTCGGACTCGGGCTATGGCTTCAATGTCCGCGGGCAAGTAAGCGAAGGAGGGCAGCTGAGGAGCATCAACGGCGAACTTTACGCCCCGCTGCAGCACGTCAGCGCCGTGTTACCGGGCGGCGCGGCAGACCGAGCCGGAATCGCAAAAGGCGACCGTATTCTTGAAGTGTAAGTTTATATGTAACAGTTAAATCAATGATCTATGGACTACATCAAGACGCGCTTAGCAGCGCTGCCCACCTTCACCGTCATCCCTTGTTAGACAGAAAGCGGCCAGTTTGCTCTTAAACACTACAGGCGAAAGTCACCAGTGTGTTTTTAAGGCATTTGAAGACCTGTGAAGAGAGAAATGATGCCGTAATCCAGTGCAAGTGCTAACGTGGCTAATAAGTGGGTTGATGTATATTGGAGTGAGAAGCTGAAAGTTAGCCAGCCTTGTCACTGCAGCACTGCAAACCATCGTTTCAGGCACGAAAAATACGGTATATTAATAAAAATGTACATCATTTAAATGCCATACAGGTGTAATAGAGCTTCCCTAATAAGACACATTTGTCCATGAGTGCAGAAAGCACTTGTTTACAGCAGGATTTGATATTCTGAGCACACCCAGGCTTGTCTTTCAGACATCTAGTATTACAATCATCCCATATCCTTTAGGTTTTAGGAAATATCTCCTTTTTTTAGAAGCTGTCTTGATAAATTTAAAGCCATCTGACAGAACTGACTTTATTTTCCTGCTTTTTCAGCCTCCCTGATCTTAAAGAGATAGTTACCCAAAAATAAAAGTTATGTCATCCTCTGCCAACCCTCATGTTTTTCCAAACCTAACTCTTTTTTTTCTTGGACCGCAAAAGGGCATCCTAGCCAGGATGACATCCTCAATCAAATCACTTTCCTTGTATGGAATAAAAGAAGTGAATAGAGACTGTTAGTCTAACGTCTTCTATTACGTTCTTTAGAAGTAAGTCATATACATTTGGAACAACATGAGGGTGAGTAAATGATGACATGCTTTTCCTTTCAGGCTGAACTATCCCTTTAACGCCTCTGTGCACACAGTGTCTCTGCCTGTCATATGCATCGGTGTATGTCTCTGCGTGAATGGCTGCTTCATTTCCACTAGATAAAGGAGGTTTGTGTTTGGACGCGTTTGTCTTCATTGCAGATTCTGGTCACATACAGCACCGTGAACAGACAAGCTTTCTCATTCCTTCTCATCTTGCTGTAGCTGACTGCGCACTGTTCTGAGCAATACTGGGTTGAAATCGAAATAAACCGCCCTGGACAATTGTGTAAAAACAATAGCACACACCTTCTGAATGATCGGCACATCCATGGTGATCTCAAACATTTATAGCACGATTATGTAACCTACATTAGGGGATATCTGTTAGGAGGAACGTCTGGGTTTTATTGGGTATGTGATTTATTGCTTGTTGATGTTATTGTGTCTCAGTTCTTCACTGGAGCGGTTCCGATGGCATGTTAATATTCACAGGGCACCTCATTGATGCTGGCGTTGGTTGCCATGGTGACAAGTGTTTTCCATGGCGCAGAAGGCGACAGCTCAGCATCAGCATCAGTCAGTGTAAACTCAGGACAGAGAGGAGGGCAAAGCAGGGCTCATCCGTCTTATAACCAACCCTTTCTGTTTTGTGGATGCTCCTAAAAACATTCTGCATGCACAGTTGAAATCAAATGCAACGTTTTGCGAAGCACCCTCAGATACGACTGAAAGGGACGTTTAAAAAGATCAGTTTTCACATTAATTGTTTTCTTCATTTGATCAATCCTGATATTGATTTTTAAAGTGTAAAGAGCAAACCTTTACACTATGCTTATTTTCAGTGGCTGCATGAAAACTTACAGTGCTGCAGGGTTCCCTGCGTTCTGCTGATCTAATTTACGCAACTGCACAGTTGGGTCTTGTTATATTTTTGAATTAATAGTTTTGTAATGTATATAGTTTGCCATCTGCATTTAATGGGATGCAACCAAACAACTGTGAACCTCAAAATATTGGCAAACGATATATTTATATTGAATCGTCCTTGTATGCTACTGTGCATAAACAAACATACTAAATGACCAGTGCAGCTGATTCACAAGCAAATGACTCTTTTCACTCTTTTTGGTGAATAAACATACATATTGACCAATATAGCCTTATTCTCTTATGAGCCAATTCTTTTATTTAGTAGTTTAGAAAGGCAAGTTACCCATTTGAATCAATTAGGAACTCTATTCTGCATAATTTAAGCATTAAGATGCGAAAGGTTTAGCGAAATTTCGTGGGCCAAATAAGTCCAATGTCTGTTGTCAGGAGTAGTAGTGATGTAGGAAGTCTCTTTCAAACCAAGCAGCTTTCTGTCGGTTAATGTGGCGAATCTGCGTGACCAACCTGAACGTGTTGTGAAATTTCCATGGGGAAATCTTTAGCCCTCACACGAAATTCCCAAATATTTGGATTTCTATTGAAGTGACTGGATTTTGCCTGCTAAAATTTGCTGAACAACAAATTTTCCTAAAAAATACCTGACTGAATCAAATCAAATCGAGTGATTTGGAATTGAATCTGGAAGTCTGTATCGATACACAACACTTTAAAGGAGACCTATTATGCCCCTTTTTACAAGATGTAATATAAGTCTCAGTTGTCCCCAGAATGTGTGAAGTTCAGCTCAAAATAACCCACAGATTATTTTTATATATCATTTTTTGAGTGGAAGCAGAAACACGCTGTTTTCGTGCATGTCTCTTTAAATGCAAATGAGCTGCTGATCCCCGCCCCCTTTTCCACAATAGGGCTGTGCCTTTACAGTTCATACCTCAGATGCTCTACTAAAAAAAACATCTGTTTAGTTTTGATTATCGTGTCTCATGTTGAAATCATGCATTTTAAACCATATTAGTTTAAACTTCTTATATAAGGTTTTCTGAGAGCACACATCCGGAGCGAACACAGAAAGTGGCAGGCACGGCATGTGAGTTTTAAACTAAGTTCTCTTTCATGTCTTTTCTATTGCGCTTAAACTGTCAAATACACACAAGTTTATGTTAAAAATACAAAAACACAAAGAGCAAATACAAAAACGAGATACAAAAACAGTCGTTATGTCTGTGAAGGTAAACAGCTGGGAAAGAAATCGAATGTTTATATTAGATCTGTGTGGCAGCAGCGTAATATACGGTAAATAAATCAATAAATCCACAGCTCTCTTGTCTTCGCTGAGCCTGGGACTCTAAATAGTGTTCTGTGCTTGTCAGTGCAGTCAAAGACAGAACAGTTAGCATGATTTGTTCAAACTTTCGCCATGGCGTTAGAACTGGTACACCGTTGTCGCTTGTGAAAACACAATGGCGGTGACATGGGTGGATACTTGCAGATTAAGGGGTGTAAATATTATTATATGATCCCCTTTCTACATCACGGGGGGAGAGAAATCTGACGCGCTCATTTTTTCGCAAGCTTGTAGAGAAAGGCTTTACCAAAAAATTTTTCACGTTTTCTGTGTTGGTAGATGCACTGGGGACCCGATTATAGCAATTAAACATGGAAAAAGTCAGATTTTTATGATTTTTTTATCACCTTTAAATCGCTCTGTTCTCTGTGCTCCCTTGTTACCATGTTATAAATGGGTAATTGTACTGTAGATTAGGTACAACTGTAATTGTACCTATGTCATGACAAATTTATAATGGAGGGCTCAGCTTTCAGAAAGTGGAAGTACATTTGGGGCAGTCTGGAAGCAGGTCATCCTGCTCGGTCTCTTGTGTTTAATGGAGTGTCAAAAGGAGGGAGATGGTGCGAGGACACATTGTAGGTTGGAGCTACAGTCAAAATGTTTCCATGGGTAACATAAAACTCTGATTCAGTGGCGTGATATTTACCACTCTTTTATGTACAGTAAGGAGGAAGAGTGAGCATTTAGTTGATTCAGCTTTTCTTTGAGTGGCTGACTGAGAGAGTCTTTGAGTGTATACGAGAAACACATGAGGGAGAGAGTATGTCAATGTGCTGCTGATTGCTGTTGAGTAACTCTTAAGTACTTTGTTCCAGTGATCTTACTGCAACGTATTTGCTGGAAACTCTTCAGTTCACATTGGACTGCATGTTCAGACAGCATTTGTTTTCTGCCCTGAATAATCTCCAAAACCCACATAACAGCCAGAATGAAATGTATTAACTGTATAAAACGCATACATATACCACATCCATCACACATTTTGAGGTCACACTCAGGTTTTCAGAGCAGGAAATGTGATACTTTGAGTTCAGTCATCTCCTGAGAACTCTCTGCTGTAATAAAACCTGACTTTTAGTAGAGCTCAAAAATAAGGATTTTTTTTCTACTAATCAGCTGGGCCATTGTTTTGATTTTTACAAAATAAAAGAATGGATATTTTATTTTTACCTATGCATTTTTATATTTGAGATATATGTATGTGTGTGTATATCTCTGCATTTATGATTTACAGTTATGTGTTTGTGTAAAATGTAATTTTTTTATGCTGTGATGACATTTATTCCATGTTTTTAAAAAAAATGTTGTCATTTAGAGCATTTTGTGACACAATACCTACTTGAGAAGAATTAAGAAATCAATATTTGGTGGAATAACCCTGATTTTCAATCACAACACATGAAAATATTTGTTATTATGACCAAAGCCATGCAATATATATATATATACACATACATGTGTGTGTGTATGCTATATTCCAAGTGCAACTTAGAATATTATTTAATATAGGCTTTTTTTTGTAATTTTCGATTATCATTATTACTATTCTTATATATATATATATATATATATATATTATATTATTAGGAAATAGATGTTAATTATTTGATAAATGCAAATTTGGTTTGTAGTTTTCAACCTTTTCTTACTGATGCTTTCAAGATTATCACTAGTCGTCATTTTTCCAAGATTGGAAAGAGGAAAAACAAATCTATGTTAAGTCACAGCAAGAAAATCTAATATTTCAATCTGCAAGGCAAAAAAAAAATTTGTACAGGATCAATGAATGTAAAATTTTCAGGAGTACCACAGCACTGGCTTGAAAGGACAAGTAACTGTTCTGTCAACTGGCCGAAACATGCTCACACATGGCTGTGGGCCAGCGGGTCATCCTTATTGTTGAGCTGTGAAAAGATTAGACCAGAAAATAGAAGCTCCAGGAACTTCGCCTAAGTAGTGGTTCAGGATTAGGAGATATCTGATCTGACATTAACCCTCTAAAAGTTCCCGGAAACATAAGATTTATAGCTTTAACCGTTTAACGTCACACTGGTATTGGCTGTGAGTACAAGTTTAATTCTGTAACCAGATCCTTTCTTATTTTCTTCCTTCTGCAGAAATGGAGTGAATGTGGAAGGGGCCACTCATAAGCAGGTGGTAGATCTCATCCGAGCAGGAGAGAAAGAGTTAGTCTTGGCTGTCCTGTCGGTTCCTCAGCCAGAGACGGACGGCCTTGATCCCGGGGACGATGGCTCATCGCAGTCCTGCTATGACTACAGTGACAAGCAGGCCGTGCCCATATCCGTGCCCACCTACAAACATGTGGAACAGAACGGAGAGAAGTTTGTGGTGAGCATTTCATCTGCTGTGGCTGCTTATGCCTCTGTTTGGTTTGATACTTTTTCCCCTGATGGTTATTTTTGACTGCATTGTGTGTTTGTGTCAGGTCTACAATGTGTACATGGCAGGCAGGCAGTTGTGCTCAAAGCGTTATCGGGAGTTTGCCATCTTGCATCAGAATCTGAGGAGGGAATTTGCCAACTTTGCATTTCCCAAGCTGCCAGGGAAATGGCCTTTCTCTCTGTCTGAGCAACAGCTAGACGCTCGCAGACGAGGGCTGGAGGAATACTTGGAGAAAGGTAAGAGAAGACGACACAGGAAGGGGCCGTGAGATGAAAATCTAGAAAATAAGTGTTTACAGATGTTTCCAACATTCGCTCTCTGCCTTTCTCTGCCTTTGCCTCTTGATCTCACCAGTGTGTTCTGTTCGGGTAATCGGAGAGAGCGACATCATGCAGGAGTTTTTGTCGGAGTCTGATGAGGTAAGGTTTTGTGTATATATTAGGGCTGTCAAGATATCAGATTTACAATACACGATTATTGAAGGCAAAAGTATTCGCAACCACGATATTGTGATATTTATAGTACATTTTGGGGAAAATAATCACTTAAAATATGAGTGTAAGGAAGAGAGAGAGTTACCATAAACCGTATAAAACTACAAAAAGAACAATGTTGTTTTTTACGTAATCCGAGCAGCTTTGCTTTCGCCTGTCTGTGATTGCCTGTGATTTTGTGTGACAGATGTAGCTACACGCTGCTTCGTTGTCTTTTTTTCTGTTTTATAACTGGTGACAACAGGTGTTAAACTGCAATACTGCCACCTGCTATGTTGGAGTGTGAACCAGGGGTGCGATAATGACAAAAATGTTGTCTCCATTTTCTTTCTGGAATTTTGTCGATAACTATAATTGTACAGTATTTTGCTGAACGTGTTATTGTGCTGGTACCTTGGCAGGTTTAGGACTGCCGTGGACAGCTGACTCCCAAAGCTTTTGATATTCTTCATATTCTGACATGTAGTTCGTTTGCAGAAGTAACAGAAATTAGTTTTTATGTTTAAATTAGGGGTGGACGATATGGCAAAAATATCATATCACGTGTTTTTTTTTTTGTTTTTTTTTTATAGAAATATCACGATTCACGTTTTTATCATGATTCTTTGTCATGTTGGTTTTACTATTTTATCTGAGCAGTACAGCCAAACTAATTTCCCTATTATAAAAACGAAGCCTTTCAAGGTAACAAAATATTTAAAAAAGAATGGTGGATATTTAGGCCAAAGTGGGTGAAGATAAAAATCTTTGTCATTATTTTATCTTTTGTTATTAAAAAATAATAACAAAGATACACATAATATATACAAATAAAACAAACAGTTTTATTTTCAGGTACAATAGGTGTATTTAGCAGGAGCATTCAAGAAATTGAATGAAGAAAATATAAAAATAAAACACTATATAGATTGATTCCTATTAAAGCAACTGTATTAAAGTTTTTCAGTCAAAAGTATTGAGTGATTTTTCTCTTTGTGTTTTGTTGTTTTATTAACATGGTTCACCCAAAAATAAAAATGATGTAATCTGTCTGTCTATTCTGTCATAGTGTTTTATTTTTATACCATCATTTACTCACTCAAAAGTTGTTTTAAACCTGAATGAGTTTCTTGTGCTGAACATAAACGCTATTTTGAAGAACGTGGAAAACCAAACAGCTGCTGGTCCCCAGAGACTTCTATTCTTTTGTGTTCAGCACAAGAAAGAAATTAATACAGGTTTGGGACAGCATGTGAGTGAGTAAAAAATGACAGAATTATAAGTTTTGGGTGAACTATCCCTTCAATAACTATCGGCAGCATGTTCAGTACTGTCCTTTTAAGACCTGCACGCATCTAATATACAGGCACGTATCCGTTTTTCTCTCAACTGTTTACTTTCATTTTAGACATAACCAACTGAGTCTATATTTAAACCTTGTGTGTTTTGACAGTATTAGCGCAAAAGGTAACTTAGTTCAGAAATCAGGCGCTGTTTGACAGGCTTTTTAGTGCACGCGCTTCAGATGTTTGCGCTGAGAAAAAGCGCACGTCTGACCAGCACGCGAATGAAAGGTTTAACCGGCAAGGCTTTAAAGCACATATGCAAATAATGTACTTTTGTGATTGCGAATAAGTGCAGTGTCCTGTGAGAGTAACTCTACCGCGGAGTTAACACTGATGCGAAATGTATGTCGCGTTGTACAGTATATTGATACGGCGGCGACAGAACTGCAGCTGATAGAATGTGCGCTGTATCACGATACTACGATATTTCTTCAAAAGCAGATCGTGGAGACATTTTTATCGTCCACGATCAAAAATCGTCATATCGCACACCCCTAGTTTAAATTGATTTTTACCTTTTATGGGCATTTTTACCCATTAAAAAGGCCAAGTTTTTCTAACCTAATAAAATGTATATATCATCTTTTGTGTCAAATTCTTAAATTTACTCAATTTAAGTGTTTAGTAAGACACAATTGGGCTGTTACCAATCAAAATAAATCATTATCAACAATAACAACCTGGTATTTGGTATTTTGGTATATTGGTATTTGAAATTATTTGGGGAAAAAATACCGGGGAAAATATACTTTAAATATAAACCTAAAATTGCCAGTAGGTGGCGGCAAGTCACTGCATGAGTGAGTCATTGAGTCATTCATTCAACATATTCGTTCAAACAGCTGATTGATTCAGTAACGAAACACTATTGTGTGTTGCTCAGAGATGCAAAACAGTTCTACTGTGGCTTTGTTTGAAACTATTTTCGCTGATGAAATAGAGCAAAAACAGGATCTTTTTTCTAAAAATCAGTTAATATTAACTTCTATTTATTGGACTGTTTTATAAAATCAATATATTTGCAGTCGCGCTGATATTTGGAGAAAAACGGCAATCTCAGAATCAGAATCAGAATGAGCTTTATTGCCAGGTATGTTTACACATACGAGGAATTTGTTTTCGTGACAGAAGCTTCCACAGTGTAACAGAATGACAGTGACAGAACAAAAAACACAGATAATAAAAAATAGAACAAGTAAATAAGGCAAGGCAAGGCAAGGCAAGACATCTACGTGTGTCTTTCCTACTGATTTATCCACAGTATACCCAGTGATTCCCATTAGGGTCATCTGATCTTAAAAAAAGTAGGATGAAGGATGGCAGGGCTGTTTGATATGTTTTGGTTGCACTCATAGGGTGATTGCAAGCAAAAATGAACCATGGGCAATGTCTATTGCCGTTCATATTTAATCACATGACCACTCTGTCTGGGCATGCAGGGTTTGTCCTCTGGGACAGGGTAGCCAGGCCTAATTTTAATCATATTAGGATGATAAAAATGTTTCATGCCCAGCTTTATTCTATTCCATTTATGTGTCGTTGACTAACAGAGCGCTGCAGTGATTACATATTTTTGTAGGCCAACCCAGAAGTTAGCATCACCCTGGTTCCCTCAACAAAAACCCAGTAGGATTTTTCCATTGACTTTTGGATTTTTACAGAAAATAAACACAGTGACCAACAAAAGCTTCATCATGATGATCTTCGCAAATGAACATTTAATGAATTTTAAAGCCTAAATATAATCAGCAGCACACATTAAAGACAGCTAAACGAGTACATGTAAATATACTTGAACAAAGAGAAGGAGACTGTAGACCTGCAAAAATCTGCTTTAGCTTGATTATAACTGCAGCATTGCATTCTCACTTGACTCAGAAAATGATTGAATCATGGACAATGGCCCCCTATCAAAGAATGTGACTGTGTCACAAAGACCCATCAATGACAAAGTGTCATAGGTCAGTTAGCATTGAAAATGTGCCTTTAACACACAGTAGTAAAGACAAACTGATGTGCTGCCACAGATAAGATATCATACATCACAGTTCATTCAACTAAAGACTATTCAGCTCAATTTAGTTAATCTGTTTTTATGTTCACCTTGAATGCAGTCTATTTATTCTATACGTGTAAAAATTCACTATTATATGATGCTATGGGAAACACAAAGGGTCAGTCAATTATTAAGTGACCCTTAAAGGGATAGTTCATCCAAAAATGAAAATTCTGTCATTAATTACTCACCCTCATGTCGTTCTAAACCCGTAAGACTTTCGTTCATCTTCGGAACACAAATTAAAGGGGTCATATGATGCTATTTTAAAGATCATTATTTTGTGTATTTGTTGTAACAGAATATGTTGACATGCTTTAATGTTCAAAAAACACATTATTTTTCAAATACTGTGCATTATTGTAGGTCCTCTATGCCCCGCCTCTCTCAAACACGTCGTTTTCAACAGCCGTTTTAGGTAGGCGTGGCTGACTCTTAACTTTTATAAAGTGGTTCAACCATCATTTTACGAAGCTACAAGAATACATTTTGTGCGCAAAGAAAACAAAACCACTTTATTCAACGATTCGTCTCCTCCGCGTCACCCTATAGCGCCATTTTGGAGAATATCCACTGAACGCCGTTAAATAAAGTGGTTTTGTTTTCTGTTTTCTTTTCTTTCTTTTCAAAACAGATTGATTCTATGAAATTGTGTTTAACCAGTGTGAAGAAGCAGCTTTTGAAAATGTGGCAGTCATAATGTTATTTGTATATATATATTTGCATGTTCCATTGCTCGGCTGTGTGTGAGTGTGAGTCTGTACCTGTCAGGGTGCTTCTCAAGCACGCCTGAAACACTGCTCTGTCTGTTTGGACTGTATTTTTAGGTCTCTCTCTCATTCCTCCTAGAATTATAATGGTGTTTCTGATGTGGAGCTAAGGATAGCCATGCCAGACAAAACTACAGTTACCATCCGGGTGCGAAAGAATTGCACAACAGACCAAGTCTACCAGGTACTGCATTTAATCATGCAACATTTTAGATCAAACGCAGCACTTTCCAAAGCCACGCATTGCATTCTTCCCCCTGTCTTTTTCAGGCTGTTGTAACAAAAATTGGGATGGACAGCATTACTGCAAGTTATTTTGCCCTGTTTGAAGTCATTAACCACTCCTTTGGTAAGAGTTTCTCTTTTTCTAGTATGACAGTATTTTTATGCCTGTGTTGGTTCAGATTTCTTAATTTTGGTTTATACAAATATTTAAACACCATATTTTTAATCTGATTGTTGATATATTTTAAAGAGCACATTGTACCACACTTTTTTTTCAGATGTTAAAGGGATGGTTTCCACAAAATGAAAATTCAGTCATCATTTACCAATCCATAGTAGTTTCAAACCTGTATTGCTGAACACAGAAGAAGATATTCTGAAGTATGTTTGTAACAAAATAATTTCTGGTCCTGTTGACTTCCATACTATTTTTAATTCATACTGCGTAAGTCAATGGGATCCAGGCTTTGTTACACACATCTTTTGTGTTCGGCAGAAGAAAGAAATTCATACAGCTTTGGAACAACTAGAATGTGAGTAAATGATGACAGAATTTTCACTTTGGTGTAAACTGTCCCTTTAATATTCATATTTTGAGATGTATCCATAGACATGAGATGACATTTTACCCCTAGTAGAACAACTTCTGCCATTGAGTGAAATGATTGGGTATGTTGTTGTTTTTCTTCATATATGATGTTATGCAAAACATTTTGTTTTATGTGGATATTGGAACGCCAGTGAAGTAGGCTAGGCTACATATAAATAATATTTTGGCATTCAAATCGCGAATACAGAAACATTTGATTTTGTCAAATGAGAGACCCAATGTTGGTTTCAGTTTCTATTGCTATAGCTTCTTATATTTTTAATTCTTGTTCTTTTCTAAATACTGTTAATTGAAAGGATTTGTTGTGGAGTGAGGGGAACTAAAATAGCCTAGCTATGTTTACAGTGTTTATTATAATGTTTGTAAACATTTCGCATCAGCATTAGGCCTATTTCTGAATGAAATAATAAAATGTGACTAATACTCGACGTGCGGTTTTTTTTGTTTTTGTTTTTTTTCTCTCTCTAAACAAACAAATTTGTTTTATATACGCGTGGCGTATTTTAACCATGCAGCAAACCTTTTAAAATATTTTGATAAATTACTGAAAAAAAATAATAATAAATGACCTTTTAAACCGTTTAACTGATTGTATTAATCGGTCAAAAATTCTTATGGTCGGTTAACCGGTTAAAATGAACATCCCTAT